CCGGCCGTCGTTCGGGCCTGCGCGTCGGGTCCGCCGCCTTGTGGTGCTGTCGCCGATCCATCTAGATTCCTCCGCATGGATTGCGCAACAGCTCTGGCACAACATAGATTGCACAACATACATTGCACCACATAGTGTGCACTACATAGACTGCTAGAAAGAAGTTGATTCGGGGTCCACGCAGGCTTATTTTTCATCGGTAGACAACACCTTGAAACATTGTAGGAATCAAGTCCTCTCCTTTAGAAATGCTTAACCGTGCTTCTTCGGCCTCGGAGGGTCTTCTCGTCGGCAGGGCGAGGCTCCTCCTGGAATTCGGGTCAAGGCGCGCCACTTGAGAGATGTGCGGATTCAAATGTTGACGCAGAATGGCGTGCCCCCGCGGAGGTCTTCATGGGTCCAGAGAAAGGTCAGAAGCATCAGAGAGATTCTCACTATTGTTTTGTGTGCCACAGTGTCCAAGTGCAACGTGCGCGGGCATTCCACAGTCTGATGTCTGTCTCTGCCAGTTCCCGGACGGTGCTCATTTCTGATGTAGCCATGCGTGTACGAACTAAACACATCTTCTGGCTGGCGCCCTTCTTTAGTTTTTCTCTTCGCTTGCCCAGTCCATGTATCGATGACAAGCTGTACAGTGGTTCGTTGCGCGCTAGGGTGACCGTGCGAGTTCCGCTGTCCGTGCCATTTTCATGCGGCTTCCGCTGCCCGAGCAGAACCACCACGCGCAGAACTCCCACGCGCGAAGCTCGCGCGAAGCGGAACTCGTACAGCGAAATTCGCACGGACGGAACTCGCGCGGACGGAGTAGAATTCGCGCAGACGGAACTCGCACGAGGTGGAGCACGCGGAATTTGCATCGGACGGAATTCGCGCGCGTGCGAGTTCCGCCGCCTTGGATTCGTTGAGCGTGGTCGCCCGTGCGAGTTCCGCCTCGCGCGAGCTTCGTTCGTGCGAGTTGTGCCCGTGTGGGTTCTTTCTCGCGGGAGCCGTCCCGCGCGAGTTCCGCTCCGTGTGAGTTCCGCCCCGCACGAGTTCCGTCCGTGCGATGTCCGTTCCGTGCGAGTGCTGTTCCTGTCGCGAGGATCTCCGAGGCCGACATCGACGAAAGCCTCGCCTCTCGTCGTACTTTTTCTCACGACACAGCATGTCTAGGGCCCCTCCGAGTCAATGTACCGATGCCGCTGCTCCCCAGACCTCTTCCGGGTGCGTTCTTGTCAGAATTTCGAGACGAATCCAGACGTGGCGATGACGGCCACTCAGGAGGCCCACGAAGGCGAAAGTTTGTCAATGGTGGCGATGTCGGCTGACCAGTCTCGAGCTAGTACAGTATCGACAACCCCAAGGCGATGGCAATCTCAGGGATGCGCCATCAGGCATTGCAGGAACCCTTGTGATCGGCACCGAGATAAGGTGATGCCAACCACAGGTTGTGGAAGACGATGCATGGGGAGAAGGCATGTTGCTACAACATGTCCAGGTGTCTTGAAAATGTTTCCGAATGGTTTAAACACCTGTTGAAACACACGTTTAAGATATGGCTCATCAATCAGACACTGAGGGCTGCTGAATCGAGTGTCTGATGAGACTTCTGCAGATACACAAACATCACGACGCGAGGGGGTCTGCACACGGGGATGAGGATGCGTCTCGGGCTGCTGATCGGCACCGCTCGGGCGCCGGCTGCCCGCCCCCCCGCGCCCGCCCGCAGGAGGCGGAGGGGCCGAGGGGCACGGAGGCGTCCGCCGACCTGCCCGCGGACCTGCCCGCGGGCGCCCGGGCGCAGCAGCACAGGGCGAAGAAGCGCGAGAGCAGCGCGAAGCGGAAGCAGCCGGCGCCTCGGCCGGAGCCCCCAAGGCATCTTGGGGATTTTGCCTGCGCCCCGAAGAGCTTGGAGCCAGTTCTTTTTTTTGATCCCAGAAGATTCAGGCAAGTCTATTTGCATGGCGTTCGCCCCCCCCCCCCCTCCCCCCTCGCCCCTCTTCAAACGAGCACCAGCGAGCAAGTGCCGTTCGACCTGCGTGAGTGCCGCACGTGGAAGTCGTTTGCCGCTTGCCTCAGGTTCAGCTCCCCCCCGCCCATGCAAGTAAACTTGCCGAAACTTATATGTATATATATATATAGAGAGAGAGGGAGAGAGAGAGAGAGAGAGAGAGAGAGAGAGAGAAAGAGAGAGAGACATAGCTATATGTATATACAAGGCTCCTGCGCTCCGAAGAGGTTGGATCCCAGGCGGTTTTGGGCCGTGGTCGGCCTCCGCGGCCCTCGCCGGGCCTCGGGCTGCGCCAACGCACGACGCAGGAGGAAGCACCTGGCCCTGGGGGAGAGGTCGGGGGAGAGGTCGGGTCCCGAGGGAAGCGGGTCCGCAGGTTTGGCGCCGCGCTCGGGGTTCCCGGGGCCCTCCACGGCCCGCAGGCCGCAGGGCTGTCAGGAAAGGGCTCTGGATGACGAGCTGGTCCTTGGGGGAAGGCCCCGTGGCCCCGGACCCGTTTCCCCCGCTTCC